CAACCCTTTCCACTCTGTGAATCCTGACTTAGCACTTCCTCACTGATTCCCATCACTGTGTCTTCTGTATGTGCCTATAAATAAATAAGCAAAACCAGGAAAGCTCTTAGAAAACTCCTAATGTCTGGCATTGAATCTAGTAACTTCTTGGTGAATTAAGGCAAGTCTGTCCTCTATGGCATGATGCAACCTTTGTTTTGTCCCGGCACCTGGTGACTGGTGCGGTAGAAAATGTGCTTTTGTATTGGGTGTCATATAGGAAATGTGGATTCTGGCCTCTGGATTGTGACATGCCTTTTTGGTTTTTTTCTGGACTTCCTAGTACTAAAAATCTGCCTCTCTGGGTCGTACTTCCCTGTGGTCAAGTAGTCTTATGCATTATAGGTTTTCATGAGCTGATCAAACCTATCACAGATGTGTTGGAAGAATTTCAAAAGGAAGGGTGTAATTAACTGTGCACAGAAGGGGCTTCTGTAAAGAATTGTAAAAGCTTCTTTAAAGGCATGTAAAAGTTTACTTTGTGTAAACATATAGTGAAATAAAATGATATTTCATTTTATAATTTAAAAAATTCTGGTCTTGAAAAAGAATCTCTGCAAAAGGTAATTAATATAAACAAGAACCCCAAAAGACTGATTACCAGACCAAAATGAAGAGGAATCTCAAATTTTTCATGTGACCTGGAGACCAGTCTAATGCCTCCATAACTCAGTGAAACTTCCCAAGATGTGTATTTGTGAAAGATGAACCAGTTCTCTCTTAGAGTTTCTGGGTATTGTAGGTTGTGGAAGGGTGAAGATACTGATTTAAAAACAAACAAACAAAAAAACCCCCGAACAATCCTACACTGAACAAACTATTCAACAGCTGCAGAGATTTAATAAAACTTCTTTTAAAGCCCATAGTTTCCCCACATGTGCACACAATCCCCTGAAGAACACGAAATCAAACTGTTTCACTAGTACACGTTCTCGTTTTAGAGATCTGAGTAGCAGTTTCTATTTCAAGGTTTGTCATGTTCAAGGGGAGGCTTGGAAGAGCTTTTGGTGTCGGTCTGTGCGGTTTATCAGCTGAGGTGGTGCCCTCTTGTGTGCTAAAGCTCTGCGGGTACCACTGCCACAGGCATCCAAGGCTGTTCAGCTGCCTCCATCATTCCGAAGTTCATGTGTGGCTTCACATTTATCTGCCTTCTACCAAGATGGTGTGCCAATGATGGCATTTTTAGTTGATAAACACATTGCACAATTTGTTTTATTGCTGTTCATAACAGTTTTATGCTACCACCAACCTCTTTGAAAGAAAATGGATCTTTGAGATGTTCTGTCTTGTAAGCAGAGATGTGATTTTTCCTCAAGAGGATGCCAAGTTCTCAGTATATGTTCTGTGGCACATAGCAGCTGCGCAGCAATGCTGATGCCACTTGTGACCGCCCCCCCCTTCCATTTCCACGCATATGCTGGTTTACAGCCATTGTCTCGCTTCACTTTTGGGATACTGGGAAAATGCAGGGTTTGTACTGGGAGTCACTCACAGAAGATAAATGTGGGAATTTGAGGACTGTTCCAATATTACGCCTTGTAGTTACTCCTATGCAGTGTCAAAGTATAAATTCAAGGCTAACATAAACAACCTTTTCCATTTTCTTGCAAAAAAACTGACTGGTGATCTTAATTGGTGTTTCAGATTTGCTTTCATGTAGGTGGTATTTAACAACTATTTTCTAGCCACAGAAATGAACAAACAAAGAAAGGCTTTATTTAGTGTTCTGCTCTGTGCATGCATATATGCAGGTAGGGGAGAGTGAGAAGATAAAAGGACAAAACTTTGCACACTGTAAAACACAGTACATCAGTTTAGTGGACCAGGTGCAGCACCATCTGAACATAGTGGACTGTTCTGTCCTCTTAGGGGGTGTTAAATTTGTTTATATTGTAGTACTTGGTACGTTTTCAAATGATGCGATGGACTGATATGCATACGTTGTTTGAAAATCCAATCCACTTGCACTTTATTATGCTAAACACAATTTGCACATTTATTTCAAATAAAAGCTCATTTAAATGTTTAAAGCTCATTTAAAATGTTATTGTCTTCAAATAATTTGCAACGATGCTGTTTTTTCTTTAAGGTTTTGACAAAGGGAAGGAGGATGTGTCACAAAGTAAAGAGGATACACCACATTCTATGTCAAAAAGCAAGGTAAGGAAAGCAACCTCCTGATCTGCCTTTATAATGTCAGTGTGCAAAGGAGTTCTGCATTTTTCAATTAAATGCAAATGTATTTAACTTCTGTTGTAGATAATCTTGAAGATTACTCGTCAGATTCAGCAATAGGCAAAGATTAAAGGGAATTTCTTAATGTAGTTCTCAGGATGACATCACATGAAAATATACAGTTCAAATTAGTGAAAATGAAACGTGGAGTCTTCTCGCTGCCCCCTTGGGGTGGGATGTTGCCTTGCCAAATGTAACGATGGACGGAGGCCAACTCTTGCTATGGAACAGAACTTTAAACCCTTTTAAGCTGCCCGTGAAGATTCTCTTCACTGAGCTGTAGCAAATCTTCTTATAAGAATGTTAAACTGTAATTGGAAAAGAGGGAAAGACTGCATTTTGCAGAGGGGAGGGCTGGGTGTGGTTTGGTCACTGAACAAAGTAGCTAAGTTCACTTGTTTTTCTTATGTAGGCATGGCTACAGAATAGAGTTTAAAGGCTTTAAATTACTCAGCTGTGGGGGTTTCTGTTTTCTGCTAGGGTATCCACTGTTTTTTTAGAGGCAAATGTGGTAACAGACACTTACATAGATTGTCAGGGAGCAGCAGGCATGGGCTGCTTTACAGGGGAATGCGTGGACCTCTGCCTGAGCACAGCTAGCCCCCAAGAGAAATGGGGGGGTGCCTGCTTCTCCCCGCTTCCGCACACCGCTCTTTCCATTGTGCTCTGCTGCCAGGTTAGCACTGCAGCCTGTCAGAGCTGGTCCTGGGCACAGGCAGCTGCCCCCCTACACAACACAGGGGTTACACTCAAGGTCTTGACACGCATTTTTCAGTGGTATTTCCTGTGTCAGAGCCTTAAAGAGAAACGATAAAAAGGTATTGAAGGAAATCAAAGCGACCGATGATGATAGTAGCATTTATCTGCTTAAATGGTGTCATCAGCACTTCACTGGGGTGAGCGGGTTGGCTCCTGCAGCTGATGCTGCAGTTCTGTGGTGTGTAGCTCAGCATTTCAAACTGTTGGTGTCTTACGTGTGACTTGGCAGCACAAAACTTTGCATCTTTCAACTTCACTGCATCCTAGAGCCTCACTTGTCAGGGAAATCAAGGAATCGCACTTTACCATCCAGCTTGCTTCTGCTGATCAAAATACTTATGTTTGTCCAGAAACCTCTACATCATTTTTTACTTGGAAGTCAAGTTAATACTGTCTCTTTTAACTTGGATTTATTTCAGACTCTATTAATCATTTATCTTTGACGATCCAATTTGGTTTTTCCCCTCCTTATATATATTTTTCTTGGTTCTTGTCTTTCCAGGTTCTTAATTCTTTGTGTGCTTTGCTATTACTTTTGTTTGTGTCTTTGTACTATCAAAGATGAGAGCAATATTCCCACGTCTCCTAAGACGTGTTTTTCTTCATCCATGTTTTTGCAGTTACTGCATGTGGGGCTTGATAAGACTAGTAGTTAATTTATAGCCCACAGATAAACTTGGGTCTAAAAGAAGAGGGTAACAGTCTGTCACAGCTGTAGAGGTGAAGTAACAGCCCTTCTTTCTAAGTAAGGATGGAAAAGCAGTGATGAGACTTGCCCAGAAGGAGGTACTGAACGTACCTCATGGGGAGTTGCAGTAGCTTCTCCTGAAACGTTTTCTTCTTTTAAGTTCTGATCCTCCCACTTTGTGTGGATTTAACACTGAAAAAGTTACTATATTGAAAATACACAAATCACTGATCTGTCTCATAATCTGTTGGACAAGTAAATATGGACCTTTACTCAGTTTCATATTAGTGAGCTTTGAAACTGAGATACTGAGAAAATGAGGTTTTGTAACCTGTGATACTTACTGGTTTGGGGATTTTCTAGGCATGACCTTTAAATCTCATTAGCTTTCTGTTCGTGAGCAACTAGAATATTTATGAACATTTTGCTTAAGTTGCTCCATAATAGCTTGCATAACGAGTTCATTGCCTCTTCTTCTGTGACAGTGATAACCGTTTTTCCCTCTTCTGTTATTACATTTGAAGTACTGTATTTCCTTTAACTTCTGGACAGCGGAATTAAATTTCAAGTTGTATGCTTTCCTTAAGCTAGATTTTGAGTGTTAAGAACATATCTTTAGTACAAAACAAAGAGGTTTCCTTCATTTTTCCAAGAGGCATATGGAAGTTACAGAGCATTTACTTAGCATTTAAATGAATTTTGCCAGTTATTGCACATATCTTTTTGACACTAGCTGTCTAAGTAAACTCCTGTAAAGTCTTAGTTCTGAATTAAAGGTGTCAGAGTAGGATCAAAGTTAAATTGCTTTGTTGCCTTTGTAAATATTTAATTTTTATTTCTTTGGTTCAAGCAACTTGTGTGTTAAGAAAAGGAGTGCTCAACAGCACTGTTTTTATTATTACATTAAGTTTTCCCAAAACTTGTATACTTCTTCCTGTCTTTTTATAGTATTTCAAAATAGAAATGCAGTGAATAGACTGCATTGTAGTCTGAGGCTGAGCTTGAGACGCAGTTTTTGTACACTGACCTTGAAATTACACAGTTTAGAAGGTTACATTGGATTTTTTGTTGGGGTTTTTTTTGTTTGACTAGGCAGAAACTTTGGGTCCATCAGGCTTACATTTCAGTGCACAAAGAAATGCAACTCTTTAATTTATCTGAAGTTTATATATAGTGGACACTTACTCAGTGTTCTCTGACTGTCTAGTCTGTGATAGACTCCTTTTTTTTTTTTTCTTTGAGCTCTGTATCCCAAGGTGAATATTTAGTGGCTCTAGTTCCCTTTCAACTAGTAGGCAACAGATGCCAAGGAACAAACTTTGAACCTTGGAAGATGTGAGGAGAGGCAGGAGGGAGAAATCATGTGGTGCTGAGGCAGCATATTGCCCTGCCCCAAACAAGGACTTGGGTTTCATGAACAAGCCCGAGTCTCGTTCCCCTCTCTGTCACCACTGTTTGCTTCTTGAGGATGACTTGCAAAGTAATAAGGGTGTGAGACTGGGGAGGAAGGAGCAGAACAAGTGCCATTAGTGGGCAGCTGTACTCTGATTTATAGAGCGCTGAATCCAAGATTGAAGAGGCTGTATTTTCCTTCATGGGTCACGGGGTAAGTGCCTCTATAGGAATTTGTTCGGAGGAGCTGGCAAGTTATGAATGAAGACGTTGGGATGTGTGTTTTATGGGAACAACTTCTGTGTTTAAACATCAGGATTCTCCTAAACCCTCCTCTCTCTGCTAAAATAATGCCTATCTAGTCTAAACTGAAACGTATCAAGTTACAGGCTACACGGGCTAAATATTTATTGTATATAGTTCAGCTCCTGGAGGAGTCTGACTTGTTTCCCTTAAAACCCTTGCGAAAAAAGACTCCATAAACAGGTGGTGAACAGCTCATGTTGCAAGTTGTAGTTGGTTTGTTTTGCTTTGGTGTGTTTTGGATTTTTTTTTTTTTTGGTTATGTAGGAAAAACAGTAAAGAAGTGAGTGGTAATGGGAACATTACAAACATAACTGTGCACTTCAAACACTTTCTGAAATGCCTGAAACAGCAATGTATCCTTGTATCTATCATTGTCATTTACTTACTATGCATTTTGTGAATTTCAGTCTGAATCCAAGCTTTTCAATGGCTCTGAGAAGGACATCTCTTTATCTTCAAGCAAACTTACAAAAAAAGAATCTCTCAAGGTGAATTAATTTCCAGTTAACTCCTCATGGACTACAAAGGCATTCACATAGTTTTACAGAGTTCTCTAACGACAAAACAAAAATGCTAAGTAGTGACAAGACCTATGGAATATTTAAGTATTTCGATAAGTTGTGTTGTTCATTCTCTTCAAATCTTACTTTGTGGTTACTTGAGTATGGGTTTCTATATGCAGCCTTTAAGATGGCACAAGATTATAGGATAACTCCAGAAGATCATAGGATAATTCAGGTTGGCAGGGACCTCAGTACATCTACGTGCAATGAAATGACGAGATGAATTATCAAAGTTACAATTTGTATGTGGTACCTGTGGGTTGTCTACTGCCTTCTTCCCCCTGTGTTGTAGCAATACCAAACTCCACTGTTTGCAGATACCAAGTCAGGAGAAGCATAAAATTATTTGCCTCTAAAAGAGGGAAATACACTGCTGCAAATCTCTACTGGGGAGGGAAGGTAATTGGTGGGTAAAGAATGCTGATCAGGTAATGTTCCTGTAAAGCAGAATCTAGCTCAAATTTGGTTTTGTACTTTACAGGAGGAAAGGAAGTGGGGGAGGGGTTTGGGTTGGTTGGTTGGTTTTCCTCCTGTGATTCTAACAGAAGTTTTAAAGTCCTCAGTCTTAAAAGCAAATCACAGAAGAATCTGAAATTAGTTACATTGTAGCTGCTCTTGAAACAGACCATGAAATGTTTGTTTACACCTTGAAGTCAAAGGCTGTTTTAAAGCTACTTCTCTGTATCTGTATTGCTAATTGAATTTAGCAGGTTTTTCCTCAGCTTGTATTGATGGATGTCTTTTTGTGCTCTGATTACTGGCTTATGGCCATGGCATTGTAATTCTTTTTATTATTATTTACAGGTTCAAAAGAAAAATTACAGAGAAGAAAAGAAGAGAGCTACTAAAGAATTACTCAGCACAATCACAGACCCATCAGTTATTGTTATGGCTGACTGGCTCAAGGTCAGAATCCGAGTGTGAAACCCGAGTTGAAGATGTAGCAGCTGCTTGCTGCTTTCTGACCAAAATAGAAAACGCTCAATCTTTTACTCGCTGTTAATGTTTTTCTACAAGCACAGCAGACGCTAATTGCATCCCAGGGCCTTGTGCTCAAATCCTAGGGGAATAATAGGGGAACCTAGCTCCCACTTACTGCAGCCACCATAGTCACATGCATACTGTGTATGTAGACATTAACTTCAGATGAGTTGGCTTTACGATGCTATTTTGTCCTTTCTATTTTACACTTTGAATCGAAGCTCTGTTACATCTGTAACAATAGTGAAGAAGGTTCAGTCATGTTAGATATTTGAATACAGATTCTTTGTGTACCTCTGGTAATTTTCCTTTCCTCTCAAAAACTAATTGTCTTCTAATACCAGTACAAAAGATAAGGACTTAATATCTCAAAGGTAGCAGTCAGGGTCATCAACAGTCATGCAGTTTATATAGTTGTATACAGTTCCTTAAATTTGTACATATATTCCTTGGAAATTGTGCAAGAAAAAAGATCTGTTACCCATTTTCGTAGTTAGCTCCAAACAATAGCTTGTCTGGAAAAAGTTTTTCCAGTTTTTGCAAAAATCAATGTAACCGATATAAAACATTGCTCAGAGGTCAAGTTGTCATTCATTCCTACAGACACAGAAGTAATTAAAACCCAGAGTTGACAGAATAGGTGCAAGCAGTCTTAATCAGACATGCAAATTCAGGGTCTTGAAATGATTATCTATTTCACATATGTGTTGAAACTAACAGCTGTTATAAGAGATTTTATGTAAGAAATTCAAATATGTCGGAGTTATTTTGTGAATATCCTGTTTTTCTTGTCAGATGTCTGCCCTGTTTTCAGAGGAAAATAGAAGAGTGAGCATTGAAACTGTACTTTTGTATTGTCTCTAATAAACCTGGATAAGCTTATGATAGAGCTGATGAACTTTGCTTGAAATAAAAACTAATAAATAATTTCAATTTTAATTTTGCTAAGGTCGATGGTTTTGGTAGTGGCTTCACTGAGATGTAACTGTAACTATTTATCTTCTAGATTCGTGGTACCTTGAAAAGCTGGACCAAACTGTGGTGTGTACTGAAACCAGGAGTGTTGCTTGTTTACAAAACCCCCAAAAACGGCCAGTGGGTAGGAACAGTGCTCCTGAACGCTTGTGAACTCATTGAGAGGCCTTCTAAAAAAGATGGCTTTTGTTTCAAACTTTTTCATCCGTTGGAGCAGTCCATATGGGCTATAAAGGTTAGTGGTAGCATATATGGCTCTTAATGGAGGACTGGCATTAGCCAGCTATGAGTAAAGGCAACCTTAATGAAAAGCAGAACTGCATTTTCTGTTGCAGTGGTTTGTTTATTCTGAATATAAGCCTTCAGCTTCTAGTCCTCTTCATCACAAAAAGTATTTGATTTTTGCTGCTCTGTATACTTAAACAGCTTCAGAGATGGTGTGCAGAGGGATGCCACTGAAGAGGTTAATACCATCACTGGCAGTCATGTAAGCGGAGGGCATGGGTGCATAACGTTGTGTTTTGCATCAGTCAGATCTGAGAAATCAAGGAGGAAGTGATCTGCCAAACTGAAAGAGTTGAGATGTATTATAAACCTTGCTTGGCTTCCTACCCTATATTCGTGTAATAAAATGTTAACCTAGTTCAATTTACTTGTAAGAGTAGAAATTCAAATTACTTCCTTGTGCAATAATAGCTTCTATTGCAACTTGGTAGCCGATTATGTTCCTTTTTGGCTACAATTTTAGGAAGATAAATGTTTTCCTTCAGTTCTGATATCTGTTTTTGTCATACATGGCATAATATTGTGAGCAGCTCTTATCTGTAAGTGTTGAAAAGCACAGTGTGTTCTGCACAGCAAAGGTTTATTTCAATTTCTCATAAGAATCTTTAGTGTTTGCTGTTACTCATTGTTTATAGTCTAGTAAACAAACTATTGTAGTCCTTGTTTTGTGGTTGCATATGGAGAAGGGGTGCGGAAGCATGGCACAAGTTAAAATATTTACCTCCTGAAATGACATCTTGCATAGTTGAAATTACTGTACAATATTGAGACCCTTGTCATAATAAATTAATTATACCCTCTGCAACATACATCTTAAGATTGCTGCTAATGCTGAGATAGGATCCTCTGAATCCTAAATTGATACAGATGTACTGCCATATCTGTAGAATATGTTGCATTGATTTTGTCTTCTTTATCTCAGACTGGGAAGTCAGTCAGCGTGTGTAATACCTGGTGTTCGTTTGCGGTCTTTCTGAATTGCTGTCATTATCGGTGTTACCAAAATTTACCAAACTTCGATAAAACCTTTTGTAGCTGCTTTTTAATAATTTTACTTTAATATTGCTTAGGAGGACTTTTCAGTGATTAGTGGTGATCTCACGTTTGCAGAACACAAACTTCATATCCTTTTCAAAGCTGTAGGGCTTGGTATTAATGTGCTTTGTTTATGGTCATGTATACGCACATTGCAAAGTGGTGGCCTGTCTGCAGAAGATCACAAATCAGTCTTATATTTCTTTATTGCTTGGCAATGAGAAATGGATTTGTTTGTTTTTTTAACTAGATATTTAGAATTTAGAGGACATGCCCCACCAGATTTTTACTTTTTTAAGGTAGGTCAAATTTTGAACCTGAACAAGTTGATATTGTCCATTCTAAATGTGCTGAGAGCTGGAGTGGCGTTTGTTCATTTTGGTATGGCTATTTGCAGTTGAGAATTACTGGATTTAAGTAGATGGAAGGCCTTGAAGTTTGAAACCTTTTTTCTGCCTTGTTTACCTAGTCAATTATAATGTCCTAGTTACAGATGTATTATCCTGAGGCAAACTCTCGTAAACATAATAGGAATTGAATGATTTGCAGAGTAGACTTACCAGAACAAGCATGAAGTCTAAGGCAAAATGAGCCCTGTTTGCAGTCAGTGCAGGAAGATGACATGGCAAGAAACATTTACACAGGTGTAAGTGCTGCAGGAGATTTTCTCCTCTGAATGCACTTCCCAGAGTGTATCTTTCTGGCAGACTGCAAATTCTTTTCTGCAGTAGTTTGTGGCCAGTCACTACCTGCTCCCTTAAGCCTGTTGCTGTGGTTTTTGATGTTCCTCCTGCACTCTGAGGTAGCTGATGCACTGTGCCTTGTTCTGTCTTCCTCATGTGCCTGGTCCTGATGCCATTTCAGTTTTTTAAAATTAATAACTAGAAAAGTTACTGCAATTCTTTTCTTTCATAAGTAAATTTAGTCAAGTGTGACTGCTTATTAGTTTTTATTGCTTTCTCTGAATGTTCATCGCATTTGAGTTTTATTGGCATGAATATTCTCTAGGAGGTAAACTTCAAAGGTTTTTTTTTAGTCTAGTGGAATTTTTAACTTGTTCATTAGCTTGTGTTGGAGTAGTTGTGCTATCATTCTGTCAGGAACAGAGACAGTTCAAATAGTCTCCTAAGAAATGGAAGCTAATGTCTCTTTTGTACAGAACAGTAGTGGTGATATCAAAGAAAAATGTCTAATGCTTTTGAAAGAGTAATCAGTCAGAGGAAATCAAGGTCCACAAGCAGTTATTCCAAAATAAGTCAACCTCCTTAAATGTTCACTGCAAATTATTCATTGGGTTTTAATCAAAGTATTGTCAAAGCACCTAGGGGAGTATAGCTTTCTTGCATTAAAAAAAAAAAAAAACCAAACCAAAAAACCCCCAAAAAACCCAAAACTACAACCACTAGAATACCAAAACCACACTTTGTCGCTAAATTATGGTTTTACAGAGTATGTAGTGTACCCTGCATGCCCACAGTGTAGCCCTAAAGGGGGATCTCACACACTAAGGGCAGACCCCTGCTTCTGTCCTGTGGCCTCAGAGTTTCAAGGACTTGTGATGGCTGAGGCCTTGCCCGGCTCTAGTGCACCCACCATGCTATGGGTCCCCTCAGTGCAGCACCCCAGCACCTCTTCCTCTCCTGCCTAGTGCTGCGTGGGCTGTAGCGCCCTCCCCTCGCCAGGTGCCCAGTGAGAGCAAGACCTCTTCCCTGCCTGCCTGCCCTCATGCATGGGGTTGTCCTTCCTGGTTCTCCTTACCCACTACCTCCTAATCCCTGTGTTGCTGCAAAGCTTTCCGTAGGCACCTTTCCACTTGCTCAGAGGGGGACTGAGGTTTGGAATCTTTTTTTTTTGAATGCCCAAGCTGCTGTTACTCCATGCTGACTCTCTGGAAGATTCTGAACATCATTTACACCAGCACTAGCTTGCCTGTATTGGTATTTAAGTGCCACCAAGACGCCTCGTTACCTGCCTCTCGCCCTCAGAAACGTTCTGGCTGTTTCATTTGCTTGCTTCTAAAATATCTGCCTTTATCTGCTTTTGCTCAAAACTGCTGGCTTTCTAATTCCCTCTTCTAAGCCTTGTACTGGCTTTTCATTAGGCTTCTGTGGGGGAAATCAGTCAAGACCAAAGTATGTTAACTCATCAGTTAGGTAGGCTTAACCCAGCTTTCAACAATAGCTTCAAGTATGTTTAATGCAGCCCTCTTTGCCTACCCGTTGTCTTAAATTTACCATAGGTAAACTATTTTTGAAGGGGCTTTAAAATGGTTGTTTAGCATTTTATTCCAAAATGAGAACCTTGACAGAAATGGTAGGGTCTTTTGGATTTGTTGTTTTCTTTTAATTTGGGTTGTGAAGAACTTCATAGTGAAAATTAAACTTTGGCATTTGACATCCTCTCTGTGTCTGTCGGTTGAACATAATGTCATGGTGTCCTGCTGATACCCTTTATAGAGAGAGACATAAGCATCTAAACGTCTTTTATGGACCTGGGCATCATCTTGGGTATTTTGTTATTTAAACGCCTAAGGCATTAAAATTAGGCACCTACATGTTTTGTGGAATTGACTACTGGATAGATAGAGAGGTTGAAAGGGAAGGAGGCAGGGAGAAAGGATGGGTGGATTTCTGTGGTAATACATAGTGTTTGGGTGGGAGGAGTTAATTTTCTTTTATTTAAATATCGATTGGCTCAAGACCAGCCAAAATCATGCAGTTCTGGAGCATAGGATGCTGCCAAGACACCAAATATGTTGTCATGTAAAATAAGCATGAAGTGGATCACTCAAGAAGGCTTCCCATTCTGTGCAAGGGTTTGGCTTGCCCGCACGTGTCTCTGCTATGAACTGTAGCATCCTTGTAGGAACTGAGAGGAACCATTGCTCCCATCAAGAACGAACAGGACTGGAGGGGCAAGAGCCAGTTGCTGTACATATGTGGGGTCTTCTACTAGGCAGCATTTGTTTTGAATCAACTCTTTTAAACCACCCCACGGACAAGTCTTCTGCTTGCTTTCAACCTTATATCTGCAGCTGAAAGACTGAGCTGAAGAGGAATAGCTTGTCCCTTGTGATCTCTCTACACCCAGGAATCCCTGGACAGTGAGGGTGACTTCCCGGTGGCATTCCTTTTGATGCTTTTGTCATCTTGCTATAACTAGCATCAGCAGAGCATTTCCAAGTTAATGTGCCAAGTCTGCTTTACAAAAAAAACCCCAAACCACCAAAAGCTATTTGAATCCCAAAGACCATTCTTTTTACAGTGGGGTTGAATTGGGAGCTATACTTAAAGTCTTTGAAGAAAAAATCCAGTAAAAGAGGGCTGTCCATCTTTCCATTCATGTCTTCATTAGATGTTGCTGAGTGACAGTAAATAGCCCTGCAGTGTGTCAGCTTGTTACTACATTGAATGATAAACTCTAAAACTGAATTAAAATATCTGATGCTGTTCCTTGTTTTGTGTATTTCAAGGGTCCCAAAGGTGAAGCAGTTGGTTCCATAACGCAGCCATTGCCCAGCAGTTACTTGATCATCCGAGCTGCTTCAGAATCAGATGGTAAGTAAATATTTCGGTGTTTTTCTGCAGTGACAGCAGTTAGTTACTAGAAAGAGGTGGTTTCAGTTGTGTTGCCGTGTCTGTTACATCACTGTGATTGCAGCTTAATCATTCTTAAGCTTCTCCTTTAACTTAGTGCGTTCAGTTGTGTTGGCACTAGTAGTTTTTAATAGTTGCTAAAGTAAAATTTTGACCTGCAGAAACTGTCTTTGAACTCCTTGCAGTTGCCTTGCATTGGCTGGGTAGAGGAGGGGGGAGGGTTATTTCAGATTTGACTATATTAATGTATGTCTAAATACTCAAGCTGGTGCCTTTCTAAAGTGCTGATGTGGACACACTTTCTTTCTAATGAAAGCATTTGTATACTATGAAGTGCAGCCATTGCACAAAATTCTAGTAGCAAAAACTCTCAAAATACAGTTTTGGAACACCCTTCATCACGGGGACGGAGGCGATCAGCATCAGTGCAGCTATCTTCAGAGTTTATTATGTGGAAACAAAATTTAAGGCTGTTGTGTAACCTTTTAAGCAGCTGCTTTCCTTGTACTGGTTAATTAAGCATACCCCTGCAGATGTTAAAAATAGGACTCTATTTGCCTTCTGTATTGAAAAATGGATTAGTACATGGAAATGAAGAAATAAGGAGTGTGAAAGAACACACAAATTTGGTTACTTAAAAAAAAATCTGCTATTTTATATTGAAATGGCATTTATATGCTGTCGTTATTCTATTACATGAGCAAATTTTGCCAATTGATGCAGTTACTTGGTCATCAGAACTAGAGTGTAGCAACTATGTAGGAATTCAATAGTCAGGGCCCAGGTGGAGCCATACTTGCATTAAGGAAGAAATGCTGAAGTACGCTCTAACAGAATCATGCTTTACCTTACGTGTCCTACCCTGAAGCATCCCTTGTGTCAGAGCTGCGTAGTTGTGAACGTCCCCAACAGGTTATAAACTCCAGTGCATGTAACATGGAACAGCTCTGAAGTGTGTCTTCAAAGGCCACGTAAGCAGACCTGAAGGGGCTGTGAAATTAGGAAATGGAAGTTGTATAGTTCAGTTAAATCCTTCATTTTTAGTCTAATAACAAATCTGTCTTTAGGCAGGTGTTGGATGGATGCTTTGGAGCTGGCACTGAAATGTTCAAGTCTGCTTAAACGTACAATGATTAGAGAAGGTAAAGACCACGATTTGAACTCTTCAGCAGACAGTACCCATGTCTCCCTCTATGGTCTGCTTCGCGCTAACAACTTGCACGGTGGAGAAAACTTACCGTAAGTGGATTAATTACTAAACCTGATTGTCCTTTTAGCAGGACCTTGCAGTGATAACTTCTCCACAGGGAGAATCCTTTTCTAATGTTCATTTCAGTTCTTTTTGTTCCTGAATTCTCTTTATATGTCTTATCTGCACCATGGTTTTATATTGTATGTGGGTAAAATGAAAAAAAATCTTTTTTCAAGCAAAGCAGATACAGAGGAAAGTTTGGCCCAAGGAACTCAAAGTTGAGTACTACGTCAGTACATTTAAGTACTCAGTTAAACTGTTGAAGTTTCAATTTTTTGTACCTTGAAGTTGGTCTCTCATTACCTTCACCTGAAAATATGAAGTTTAGTACATGTGACAGAAGTTGGTATATGTGAATATACGTGGACGTTCTTTGGTTAAAGACATGAATAACCCTCTCATTACCTAAATGGCTTCAGCATGTCTCAGCTTTGAATCATGAGATGGATGAATAATAGTTTAGTCACCCTATTATAATTTAAACTTTTGTGTATTTAATGTGATCTGGTATCACGTGGTATCTAATATCTGAATGCCCTTGAGTAATAACTCCCTGTTTATTTCAATAAATACTTTCAGCCCGATTTTTGGGAGCATAAGCTTTTGTGGAAATACATTATTAACAAGCATGGTGAGTGAATGGTGTTTTCAAGCACTTTGATTGTGGTACCCAAGTGCATTAGTAATATGAAAGATTTAGTCCTTTATTTGAAATAAGTGGGTCTGAAGCTTGAACTATGCACAGTTCCTCTTAGTAATCTTCCACAAATTCAATGTACTTTCAGGTGGACATAAATTCATTTCAAATAACCCTTCCCACCATGAAGATGTAGCTGCCCACCTGTCTTTTCTGGGTGGGCAGGGATTTTGTACTGCTGTTAAGAACATTCTTTTGTGTTTAACACAAGATCTGGACTAGGAGAAGTGCAGTTCTTTCTGGCACATGTAGTCTGAGAAAAGCACAGAGAAGGCAAATTATTGCCCCCAGCCCAGATTCAAGGCCCTGTCCAGATAACCAGGAAGGCTCAGCTACAGTTTTGCTCCTTCTGTTGTGTCGTCAAAACAATGAAATTACTGTGTACAATTCAGCTGGAGATCTGCACTGATGAATAGCAGTTTAATATCAGCAGCTGGCCCAGATTACAATCACAGCAATTAGCTACAACTGTTAAGTCTAATTAAGACCAATGGTTTAATTAACTAGATCTTTGGATATAGCACTGTGCTTAACTATCTAAGTGACAAAACCTTTAGGCCTAGTTTTAATGGGGTTGACAGGAGAGGGAGAAGAAAGGTGAAAGCAATTCTAGCTTCAACTGATAGCTAGCTTTAAGTATGTTAATAGCAAGAGGAAGTCCAAGGAAAACACTGGACCAATACTTGTTGAAGATGATCACCTGCAAAATAGGGAAAAAGCAGAGTCATTCAATGCTTTCTTTTTTCCTCAGTCTTTAGTAATACTGGTAGATGTTGGGCTGCCTGATCCTCTGAGCTGGAGGACCACGAGTGTGGGAACTGACTTCTCATTTGTGGAAAATGAAATTCCAAGAGACCAGGTGTATCAGCTGAATGTTCATGAGTCTATGGGGCCTGATGGGATTCATCCCCGAGTACTGAAGGAGCTAGTGGGTGTTCTGGCAGGACCCCTCTTGGTCATCTGCCAAAGGTCTTGGGAGTCTGGGGAGGTCCCCACTGACTGGAAGCTAGCCAACATTCTTCCCATTTACAAGAAGGACATGAGGGAAGACCCAGGAAACTCCAGACCTGTTAGTCTAACCTCGGTACGTGGAAAAATTATGGAGATGATCATACTGAGTGCTACTGAGAGACATTTAAAGAAGAACGCAATCATCAGGCATGGTCAGCATGGGTTCACAAAGTCCTGTTTAAATAATTTGATATCCTTCTGTGATAAGGTCACCTGCCTACTGGGTGGGGGAACGGGACTGGAAGGGTGTAGATGTATTTTTTTTCTGGATTTTAGTAAGGCTTTTGATACTGTCCCTCAGCATCCATCTGGACAAGTTGTCCAGCTGTGAGCTGAGCAGGTACACAGTGTGCTGGCTGAAGACCAGGGCTCAAAGGGGTGTAGTGAGTGGGGCTACACCTGGCTGGTGTACACCTGTCACCAGTGGTGTTCCTCAGGGTGCAGTCCTAGGACTGGTCTTGTTCAATATATCTGTCAAGGACCTGGGTGTAGGAGAGAGTTGAATGAACCATTAGCAAGTTTGCTGATGATACCAAACAGGAGGTTCTGTTGACTCTCTTGACAAAATGCCTTACAGAGGGATCTAGATAGATTGGAGCATTGGGCAGTTGTCAGTGGCATGAAATTTAATCAGAACAGAGGAGGGCAACAAAGCTGGTGAAAGTGCTGGAAGGAATGCTCTATGAGCAGTGGCTAAGTACTTTGGGCTTGTCTAGTTTGGAGAAAAGGAGACTGAGGGGTGAGCTCATTGCTCTGTACAGCTTCCCGAGGAGGGGACGTGGAGAAGGAGTTGCTGATCTCTTGTCCCTGGGATCGAGAGGTTCAAAGCTGTGCCAGGGGAGGTTTAGACTTGACATGAGGAAGCATTTCTTTACCAAGAGGGTGGTGAAACACTGGAACAGGCTTCCTGGAGAGGTGGTCAATGCCCCAAGCCTGGCAGTGTTTAAGGGGCATTTGGACAATGCCCCTAATAATGTGCCTTAACTTGGTCAGCCCTGAGGTGGTCAGGCAGTTGGACTAGAAGGCTGTTATAAGTCTCTTCCAATGGAACTACTCTGAACTCGGTGCATCTGACAGTTCAGTCAGAAGAGTATGTCCTACGTGCTTCCAGCGAAGCTAGTTTGACATTGCTGCCAGATCAAGCATGATATTGACAATTTTAGTGTGTATTTTATTAAGATCCTGGTTTGGAAACACCAAATTGTTGTGTGAAGTTGAAGATTTATTTAGCCTTTATTTTTTTGTAGGTTAAATGACAGTGAAATTGAAAGGCATCATTTTAAAGATCAAGATATGTACTCTGACAAATCTGATAAGGAAAATGACCATGACCACGAGGAATCTGATAATGATGGGTTGGGGAAAAGCGAAGAAAGCGATAGCGACACATCAGAGCGACAGGACGATTCTTACATCGATCCAGAACCAATCGATATCAAGGAAACTACTTACTTGGAACAGAGCCATGAAGAACTTGGGGAGGTAAAAGTGCTGTCGATGTAGTGAGCGAGCAGCTTCTTCAAACAGAAAATGGATATTTTAGGGGTCAGACTGTGCTTGAAAGCTGACTTGCAGGATTGACTTTCATATTTTCAGCAATAATGGGGGAGGAGGAATTTGTTCACCCATATTCTGCTCTGCTTTGCCACTCTTGGGCAGAGTCACCTTGTCTGAGGTTTTGACAGAGATAAGACGATTATCTGGAATATTGCTCAGGCAGAAGGTGCTCAGTTTGAAAGGGCCACCTGCAGCAGAAGTTGACCATGTCTACCAGTCCTTTTGTTGTTATTTTTATTTGTTTTTTGTTAACTTCTGTTTTTTTCTCCAAGTAAAAATCTTCAAATTGAAGATTTTAGTGCCAGCTGACAGCTTTGCTCTTCTGCAAGAGAAGAGTTAAGCAGCCACAGGGCCTGCGGAATTCAGTGGAAGGCTTGCTGTGTTTCTGCTGTCACCTTGCATTCTGCTATGGTGCCCCCGAGCTGCCATTCCACTTCTGCAGGTTTGCTTAGTACCTACCCAGGCAAATACGATAGGATTTGTATGTTTTACTTGCTACAAAGATACCAAAAAACCGAACAACATTTTAGATGAGTTTTTTCCCCTTTCTTCTCAAGTGCTAACCATGAGATTTCTTTTCATACATATGGGCCATACCTTGTGCTTTACTGCTGTCTAGTATTGCTTTTAGAAGAAACAGTAATTCAGGAAAAGCTGAGGAGTTAATGCTGACAATAAATTCTTGAGTATGTGTTTTAGAACTCCTCTGGAAAGAGGGATGCTTTTCCTACCACCTTTGCTTTTGATTTCAGAACCTGTAAGTGTGGCTGCTGATTTTGCTCACTTACCCACAAGTAGTGGTTTTCTTTAAGGTTGTTGACTGGTCAAGGCAGTGAAAAGCATAAATGTGGCAGCTTCCATCATGGGGAAAAGTTGGTAGAATGAACAGCCCTTTGCTGTCAAAGTCCCGCACACGAGAACACAGGGTCAGGTACTCAGTGCCTAGGAAAGGACTAAGGGAGGATTTCTGAACAACATTCTACCTCAAATTTTTCTGGTTTAGGACTGATAAAAACAAATACAGTTTCTAATGCTGAATAGTGTACCTGTCATACTTCATTAAAGATCTATCGTAAATGTGTTTAGAGAAACTTGATTTTTCTCCCATAGGTGCTTCAGGTTTTTGGAGTCCTACATTTCAACTATACATTTTCCATTCTCATTGCATCCTTAGAATGTGTTGACCTGTCTTCTGGAGGATTATTTTCTTTCTCTGTTCTGTAAGCAGTCTTTTTGTTCATCCTAGGCAGGGGAGGCTGCTCAGACAGAAGTAGTGTCAGAAGAAAACAAAAGTCTGATCTGGACGCTGCTGAAGCAAGTCCGGCCAGGAATGGACTTGTCCAAGGTTGTACTGCCTACGTTTATCTTGGAACCTCGTTCTTTCCTGGACAAGCTGTCTGATTACTACTACCATGCAGACTTTCTGTCTGAGTGAGTCAATCCTATCTCTGGTCTTCGTTCTTTGCATTTTTTTAAACCAAAATAGGGTAACAGTGTATACTGAAACATTTGATCCGGTCTACTTAAATGACATCATAGACTGCTTTGAGTTTGAATGTTTGTCTGACAATGTATCGGTCATCAGATATCCTTGTTTTCTGAAAGCTAACTGCCAGAAAGCTCTCCTGTTTTAGCTTTTGGAGATTGATTAGAAAACTTCTCAAATTAGTTGGTTTGTGGTTTTGTGGGGTTTTTTTTCCTCTGGGAGGCATGTTGTATAAAATGGTAAAACAGTACCAGTTAACCTTTTAATATAGTGTTAAGTTCCATTCATATTTATAGTTGCCTGCTTAAATGTAGCTAAGAAATTAAAGACTGTAAATTGAAATACTACTCAACAGTAAGTTCTGTACGTTGAGTAGGCCGGTTCTCTGGAGTAGTACCTTTTATAAATGGAAGAACTTCAGTGGGGGTGGAACAGGATTTACTGTTACGAAGAACACATTCAGTTATGGAAATACCTTTTCTGATTTTTGTTTGATTTCCATTTTCAGACAATTATTTGAAAACTCTGATGCATTCAGACTGCAACTTTTGCAGTACTGCAGGTCATAAAACCTTTGCTGTAGTCAACTCCTAGACACAGGATATATCACAACAATTGATAGGGTGTTGTAACTGTAACAGTATTGATATTTGAGCTGTATTCTCTTTGTTTCACAGAGCTGCTCTTGAGGAGAATGCTTACAACCGCATGAAAAAAGTAGTGAAGTGGTATTTGTCAGGATTCTACAAAAAGCCAAAGGTATCCTTCGCATATTATCTTGTCATTGCTTTAGCCATTGTGTCTAGTTTGAGGGTTTGGGGATCTGTTGGAGTAAGTTTTTGGTTTTAAATTATTGTTACGTGTTTTTTTAAAAGCCAGGTGATGTTTTCATTGTTTACGCAGATACACTGTGCACCTTTCTGATCCCTAGCCATGCTTAAAGTAGACTACATTCAATTGTTTGGGGGTTTTTCCCTTGAAGTAGAAGTTGAACTAAACATTTTGTGATAAAGTTGAGCCAATTCTACGTTTGCTGTTCTTCAGTGATAACGTGCTGCACTTGGAGGAGTAATATTTCTACTACTTCATGTAGCTTTACACTAAATATACTTTCTAGTCATGTTGGTGGGAAACAGTATTGAGAGAAGGAAGTGCTTACTGCCTAACTTCAGACAAAAGGTCTGTAGTAATTCTCGTACAGAAATCCTTATATTCTTTTTGTCCTTACGTTGTAGCCTGGAAGACTTTAGCAGATATATCTATGCCCATTTCCTTAGAATGAAGAGCAGCGTATCTGAGCATAATAATCAAATGATGTGATCACCTACAGTGTCCTTCAGCACATATGATTTTTGGGGTGTGTGTCTTGTCTTCAGTGACAGACTGGTGAAGTATTTTGTAAGTCCTGTCCCTACATTGTGTGGTTACTCTCTGTTCTGTTTCTGTTTAGGGACTAAAAAAGCCATACAATCCTATACTTGGTGAGACTTTCCGCTGCATGTGGATCCATCCAAAAACGAATAGCAAGACTTTTTACATTGCGGAACAGGTAGCTGCAACAACCAGCACCAATATTTTGGGGGGGGCGGCGGGAGGGAAGGTGTTTTTGTGCTAGACACATGACGTGGCGTTTTCAGAAAATGCATAAAAAGTGTTTAAATGTATGAATAGTAACCTAAAAGCTCTTCCAATGAGCTTAAGTTTTTACAGAAACCTCTTTTAGTGTGTCTTCCTGGAGAACCAGAGAAAAGTGTTTCCACCATTTCTGTTTCTTCTTCCTCCAGTAAAAAAGTCAGGTGCTAATTTTCTTAACTCTTGAAATCCAGTAAGAATGTTTGCTTGATTGTTATCTTTAAAGACTACAGTCACATTTCACAGGTATTAACTGTACTTGTTATATGCAGCCTGAATTTTGCATTCTGTCATTATTCCCTCAAGGTTTACACTATGTTCCATGTTCTTTTTTTTTAAATGTGTGTTATTTTTCAACAGGTATCCCATCATCCTCCAATATCTGCCTTCTATGTTAGCAACCGCAAGGATGGTTTTTGCCTTAGTGGTAGCATTCTGGCCAAATCCAAATTCTATGGTAAATAATGTTTTTGGTTTTTTTTTTTTTTGATTGTACCTTTATTGAGGAGTGTAAAATCAGTTATCAGTTTTATGGATGAAAGAAGGCTGTTAGATTCAGGTTTGATCACTGTATTATCCTTTCCTTACAAAGCTTTTGTTACTGGTCTTGGAAATTTTAATTTCTTTTGTTTGAAGTATTTTAATTTTTAATTGGAGGTGTGTATTGTTGCGGCTTCACTAGACAAGGGTAGACTGCAATGTTAAACATACTCATGTTCTTCATTTTATTGCTCAGTTATTAGGAAATGTTGACTGTTGTCTGGCAAGGTGAGAACTGTGATTTTTCTGTCTTTGAATTTCAGGGAATTCGTTATCTGCCATACTAGATGGAGAAGGACGGCTAACATTCCTAAATAGGGGAGAAGATTATGTGATGACAATGCCATATGCTCATTGTAAAGGTAGTGGGGGTTTTTCATTCTCTAGATGGCCATGTTATGAGAACAGAAATTTATTATTCTAAATAGTATACGGTGGTGGATTCAAGCTTGTCATCTGAGAAGAGTATTCTGAACATTGACAATATTGGTGGCTCTAGGCTTACACATATTTTCTTAGGAGAAAAATACATCTGTATTTTAAGCGATTTTTTTTTTTGGTCACAAGAATATTTTTTTATAAGTGGTAAGAGCATATATGTAGTTGTCTGTCATTACATGACAGTAATTTACTGTTTAAGTTGCTTTTTTTAAGGAACAGTTTGGGGCTTTTCCAGTATTTTCCTCTTGTGAACATAAAAAGCAATGTACTGTCTACACTTGATGGTGTGATATAAGTGTAAATCATGATCATTTGTCTTTAGTTTCCTTATGAGAAACCAGTCAGCAGTTGTAAAGCTTTCTGGAAGGTTGGTAGTAGTGCAAAATCACAGAATGGTTAGGGTTGGAAGGGACCTCACAGACCATCCAGTTCCAACCCCCCTGCCATGGGCAGGGACACCTTCCACTAGACCAGGTTGCTCCAAGCCTTATCCAGCCTGGCCTTGAACACTTCCAGGGATGGGGCATCCACAGCTTCTCGGGGCAACCTGTTCCAGTGCCTCACCACCCTCTCTGTGAAGAACATCTTCCTGATATCTAATCTAATCCTCCCCACTTTCAATTTAAACCCATTACCCCTTGTCCTGTCAGTACAGGCCCTTGTGAAAAGTCCCCCCCAGCTTCCTTGTTGGCCCCTTCAGGTACTGGAAGGCTGCAATAAGGTCTCCAGAGCCTTCTTTTCTCCAGGCTGAACAAGCCCAACTCTCTCAGCCTGTCCCCAGAGCAGAGCTGTTCCAGCCCACTGATCCTCAAAATACATTGCAGAGTTGCTGATTTTTAAACTGTTACATATTCAAATATATCTACCCAGCTATTTTCTTCCAGAATTCCCTTTCAGAAGTCTTACAGTCAGCAACAATAATATTTTCTTCATTTGAGATGTATTAAAACTAATTGGCAGAATTACATCATTTGACATTAGATTGGTAGGCTCTTGTCCTTCCATTACTCATAGATGTTTTTAATATTCTATTGGATTTTTTTGAATATACATACATATATATATATATAAAATATAATACTTAACTGTTAAAAAGCACATAAAATATGTGCATACATCCAAGTCAAACAGGAAGAAGGAGAACTCGTGTGAGTAATAAAGCTGGTGGAGAGGGAGAAAGGTGGTAGAAGAATATGCAGGGAAGGAGAGTGTGCTTGGTGAAAAAAACATATTTGCACGTGCATCCTCTGTATGTACAGTATGTTCAGTGTTTCAAATGCTGGATTGCAGGGGGAAAGACAGTAATCGTGGGAAAGAAAGCGTGCTTAGCATTGTCAACTTCGTACTTCCAGCAGTCTTTAGAGAGGTGATCGGTGTTGTCTTGTATTGGTTGTCCCTGGTTGTCTTCACCTGTGGCCTGACTGTGCATACTGCTTCTGTTCAAGTGAAGTTTTTCCCGTCTTAACCTCAACATGTTCCCTCCTCCAATCATCTCCTGTAAGACTAAATACCACCCTTGCTAGACCCAGCAGCATATGCTGCCGAGAATGGTTCTTAATAAGCCGTTTTCCCTGCTTATCTGAAATTCACTTAGATCTTTTTCTGTTTGTGTTATCTTATTTGGCAGAAAGATTGAGCTTATCATTAGGAAAGGTCATTTTAAAAGATTTTCTCTTCTGGCCAGATGTATTTACTCTAGAAATTGTGCCCAAAGAGCTTGGGTTTTTTGTCTTGTTCAGTTACAAACATTCATTGTAGCTGGTTTTTTCTCTCGCAGGAATTCTTTATGGCACAATGACCTTAGAGCTTGGGGGAACAGTCAACATCACCTGTGAGAAAACTGGCTACAGTGCAACGATTGAATTCAAACTCAAGGTTAGTAAAGGCTCTAAGTGGGCACAAAAGAAGAATGAGCATAATAATTAAAAAAAAAAATCATTAGGTCACTCCTTAGGTATGATCTGGTTTAATATGGAATTATCTTTTTGGAAACTGAGGAATTGTAATTTTAAGTGCTATGTATCCAGCTTTGTGTACCTAGCAATAGTGGTTTTTTTAATTTTCATTTTTTAAAAAGGGAATTAAATTGTCATCTCTTTTCCTAATGTATTCTTCTGGGTCCAGAGGTTTTGGCTGGAACTTAGAGTGCTGTCTTCACCTCTGGTGATAAGAGATGCAAACATATTGCTAGTTTTATCAATCTTAAGACCAGCTCTAGTGGGGAAAACGCAGGAGTGTGTCTTATCTCCAGCAGTGGCAACAGCGTGTGTCTAGGAAAGTGTACCCACAGGGGAAGTGTTCAGTGGTCTGATCGGTGGCTCAGATACTTCGTGTACTGTTGTTAATATACCTTGGTGACTTTTAATTCTCTCAGAGTGTTCAGGGACTTGTTAAACTCCTGGAAAGCCCTTGGAGGAGAGCTCAGACCCAAGTTCTCCTCTTCCATCCTGGGTAAAATTTAAGATGCTCATGACACCTCAAGTAAAGATGATGCAAAAGCTTTGGCTAACATTTAGATCAGCCTATTGCCCAGTGCTAAGCAACAGTCTATAGGGGCTATTTTTGGCACCTCGCCACTCACAGAAGCTAAACACAGGTTTCTAAACTACTTATAGATGGCTTGCACTCCTGAAAAATACAGATTTAAAGCCAAACAAGTAGTTGTTAAGGAGAAGTGTGCACATGGAGAGGGAAACTGTATTCAGTTGGAATTGCAGGGGAAACATAGAAGTTAGGAGGCTGTGTTAATTAATATTTTGCCTTGTCAGCCCATGGGATACATGCGCAGACTATGAAAAAGGCTGAAGAAAATCCCTGGCAATCTTTTTTTGTTGTTGCCTCTGCAAGAGTTGATCTCTAGTAACAAATGGTCCTGGCAAAGTGGTGAAACTAGCGTATCAAATTACTGTTTCTTCCCAGATATCATTGTGTTGCTGTTTTCTGCAGCATTTTCCATTTTCTTTCCACGTTTCTTAGACAATGCTTTTGCTCAGCAAAACTTTTAAGAAAATGCAGCAGGAGAGAACAACTTCTGTGTTCTTCTTTAAACTCGTTTTGGCGATTAAATATGCAGAAGTTGCAACATTAAAAGCCATCAGGGCTTACATCACATTTCATAAATGCCCTTTCTTCCTTAGAACTGAACATAAATGCAAAAATGATTTGCTATTAAAATAAACATGAAAGCATTTCTTTTTGTTTTGCAGCCTTTTTTGGGTAACAACGACAGTGTTAACCAAATATCAGGGAAAATTAAGCTTGGCAAAGAAGTGCTGGCTATTTTGGAGGGTCACTGGGTAAGTAGTGAGTGATGGTATTTTATAAATTCTGGCTGATAGGTGAGACAGGTGAAAATAGCACTTAGCTACAAAAAAAGACTCAAGTTTAAAAAGAAGTTAAGTACCACTTCTATAGAAAGTATCTCTTTATAGTTAGTTCTCAAAAAAGTATAGATTCAACATAATGTTATTTTTAACTGTTAAAAGGTGTAAAAGTTGTGTACACTTGAGTAGTTCATGAAGAAAATACCTTTCGGCTTGCGAACCATTTCTAGTATAGGTATTAATACTATGAAGAATTGTTATGGCACCAGCATCAAGCGTTTAAACTTGTTTTGGTCCTGGTGGGATGACACTGGCAACACTGTTTTTTGGCTGTGGTAATGGTTCCATTGCACCCCTGTTCCAGGATAGAACTAGCACAGAATGTGGGAACTGAATTTTAAAGTTAGCATATCTAATTATTCTTAACTACAAGATCCAAAAGAAAATAAATTCTGGTTACAAAACAAGTTGCTTATTCCTCCCTTTTGTGTTTTCTTGGCACTTTTTGAGATTACAATTAAGGTGACTGAATGATATATGTTACAGGACAGTGAAGTTACTATTAGTGACAAGAAGACAGATGTTTCAGAGACATTCTGGAACCCGACTTCTGATATCAAGCAGCATAGATTACCTAGATACACAGTGAAGTTTGAAGAGCAAGATGACTTTGAGTCAGAGAAGTAAGTTCGCTTTAGACCCACGTGTAATTATTTTGACAAAATACAACTCATCACTTTCTCCAAACTATGAACAAATTTTATGGTTTGAACATTGAACAAATTAGGAACAAAATACGTTGTCTTTCCTTCCCTTGTTTGCTGATACTGACCTGTAAAACAGGAAGCCAACACCGTTAAGTACAAGGTCGTTATTTACAAACCTTACCATCATGGTGATTCTTGATGGAAATGTAGGCAAAGCATACTGCAACACAGTAATAATCAGTTAGAGTTGATGCCTTTACTTAGCCTATAATTAAGGAAATATTTGCAATTATTTCTGTAAACCAGATTGTAACACTCTGTATTGCTTGTTTGCCAGGCTTTGGCAACAAGTGACAAGAGCAATAAATAACAAAGACCAAACAGAAGCTACTCAAGAGAAATACGTTCTGGAAGAAGCTCAGAGAAGGAGTGCCAAAGAGCGGAAGCTGAAGGGTGAAGAGTGGACATGCAAGCTGTTTGATCAGGATTCAGTCACGGGAGAATGGCACTACAAATACGCCGAGTGAGTCCTGGAGTGCTTGTGGCAAAAACTGTGCTGAATGCCTGGCAGCGTTGCTGAGCCGCTTGCTGTGGTTTCGGGAGCAACACCACTCGGATATATAGCTGAGTTCAAACACATGAAATGCACAATGCTACTTGATATTCATGTGTTTTAATTAAAATGCATGATTTTTAGGCTAAACTTGGTAGGCCTTTCACCAGAGGGGGTGTTAATAAGTCATGTTGAAAAGGCGGCGGTGGGTAATGCAGAAAACAGTGTTTCATGTAACCACTGCAGTGGGCTTTTTATTTTTTATCTTTATAGTTAGGTGCCTCGACAGACTCGTGCTGTGTTCGAGAGTTTCTTGGGCACGACACTTTTTCCCCCCCAGACTGACCAGAGCAGCTACACAGATTTTCCCAGACTGGAAAGTATGGCACATAGGGGCATACTAACTGGAAATCAGAAAAGCCTGTGCTTAATTGAACTGAGCTACTTAATTTGTTGTATGTGAGAATACCTCTGAGGGCGAGAGGTGTACAGCGGTGGGTAATGCTGGGACCAGGTAGCTCAGCTGTCAAATACACCCTGTGCACGCGAGTGTCTGCGAACCTCTGTGTGGTGATCGGGGTCGGAAGATGAAGATGCAGCTCTCTCTCCAGCTGCTGGGAAGCATTTTTTTGTTCTCACCAGCTCTTGCGAGAGTCACCTTGAAGCTCAGCCCTTTGCAGGGGTGGTTTTCGCAGAACACCCACATTCTTTTACAACACCCAGGACACTTCTAAATTGCAAAGGATTGGAAAGGTAAAATATCCAAAGATGGTATACTCTAAGTTAAGTAATTCTGAAGCCTGGCTAGACCTGGGAACCCTTCACCTTTGTGTACAAGAATGGCAGTACTGGGGCAGTGGCTTAAAATGTGTGTATAGGGAAGAGTACAGGAATCCTGACTACTCTTCGTATCTCCAGCAAATTAGCAGCTCCGAGGTTTCTTGGAATGAAGTGGGGATTCTGTATATTTAGGAACTCTCGATAGATTTCTTTCCCATGTATATCCTTGATTTCCTCTTAAGTCTGTGCAGACTTGCACCACCCAAAGTGTCCTGCAGCAGGGAATTCCCCAACTAGACTAAATGCTTTGTAAAACACTCTCTCTTGGCTTGAACCTTCTAGTGCTGTTGATGCCGCTTCCTGTTGAAAGAGCTGAGTGGTCCAGCTGAATTGACTGCCCGCCCTGTTCAAGCCTGTGTAAAACCATCGGGAACATTACTGCAGTTTTAAATCTGTTAGGTCTTAAAGCTGCAGCGGATAGTCTGTCGTGTTAATCTGCATTATTTCTTGTCTCCTTGAAGCCTTGTGGTTCAAGGATGTGCCACAGAAATTTTACTGTGTGCAGCCTGTGCTGTCAGCAGTCCCTGGAAGAAACTTCCCTCTCCTTTTACGCATCTAATGCAAGCTCATCGCCTGTCCGTGTAAAGATCAGTCTTTCACTGCAAAAGATGTGTTCAGTGAGCTGTGGCATTTGTTAAGGTATCTGGATTACGGCTTTAGGCATCTGGATTACAGCTACAAAAGACCTTTGGGAGGGCTGTGCCTTGTTCTTACCCAGTTACCTTAGGTGACATTGAATTCAAGTTAGGTTAAGCCAAGATGTAAGTGCGGGCCTATGTTCACAACATCCGAAACAGCTATGAACATTTCAAAAGGCAAGCAGGAGGAGAGGAAAGGAAATCCATGCTTAATCTGCTCTCACTAAAGCTGTGCATCAGAGCGCTCTTCCTGCAGCTGATTTGCAGTTTCTGTCCTGAAAAGGCAGTAATCGGGGAGTGTCTGTCTTTGCCTTTTGGCTGCTCGTTCTCCAGGGAGCTGTGTGCTTTTTGTTGATTTTATTATTTGATTTTTTTAAATGTTATATCAACTTGTACTTGGAAGAGCACTCTTAAAAATCAGAACAAGCAAACTGTGCATAGCTCATTAGTGCCTCTTGAAACCAGTCTTGATTACCATTAGCCACTCTAGGATGAAAGCAGGTTTGAGGTAGCTGATTCTTAACCTCTTCTTCCAATTCTTAACCTCTTCTTCCTAGGCATCTTTCAAAAAAAAAAAAAAGAAAAAGGAAAAAAAAAAGCAGACCAAAATAATAATAATTTACAAAATCCCCTAATTTCCCTGTATTTCTAAAATAATACCTGTACATTAAGCAGAGAACTTCTCCATGTTTGACAAATACCTGTCACTAGCCAGGTAATAAATCCATACTGATTGTTGGTTAACACAAGAACACGCACTTTGACCAGCTGGCTGAGGGTTTGACCTGGATGTGAGGTTTATTTTTTGGCTGTCTTGGCCCTTCAGATTAGGACTGGGCTATGGGAGGATGGTGGTGTCGTGGTTTAACTCCAG